GACCTCCAGCTCTGATGGTGCCCCTCAGCCCCAACCGCCAGCCCCCTGTTATCCCAGCATTGGGCTCCCCCACAGCTTTGCTGCCCCTCAGATATCCCACCATGACACGCTCCTGAGAGACCCTACAAAAACAAAGCCTGACAGAGGGCTACCGAAAGCGTCCTTAGCTCTGAGCCGAGGGGGTTAAACGCAGTTGAACAGGACGGTACAAAGTGGGAGCTGGCAGCATGCCCAGCCCTTCCCAGCCTCACTTTGCGCTTCTCTTCCCCACTGTCAGCCCCCATCTCCCCTCCACACACACTGTCACCTCCCCCAGTACCCACTGCACCCTCCCTCCCCCTTAACTGGTCATTTGCAGTCCCTATGATGGGACGGGGGCTGGATACTCATTAATCCCATTCACCCTAATGAGGCAGCGCCTGCTCCTGCCCCACCAGCGATCCTGTCACCGAGCCATGGCTGAGCCACAAGATAGCCCCTCCCTGAACCAGAGGGAACCCAGGAGTCCTGGCTCTTAGACCTCCCTCTCTAATGCTCAAGCCCCCACTCCCCCTCCCAGAGCTGGGGATAAGGGAGGGGAGGGTAGAGCTGGGTCGCTCAGCTTCCCTTTTGTTGTGTCCAGGGCCAGATTTCACACTCACTCCCACATGCCCTCACAGGCGTGAACCAGCCCCTGATTTCCTCCCACACCGCCTGCATCCCTCCTACCGCCACAGCCCCCCACTGGCTAGCCAAACTCTGACCGTTGCATGTCCCTCGCACGCCCAGCTGGGTGCACACCCACACTTGTGCACATGCACTAACCATTTGCACACTCAAATGACACTGACACACACACACAGACATTCCCCTGCACCTGGCTGTGCACACTCACACTGCACTGACACACAGACATTCCCCCGCACTGGCTGTGCACACTCACACTGCACTGACACACACACTGCACTGACACACACACATACATTCCCCCGCACCTGGCTGTGCACACTCACACTGCACTGACACACTCACACTGCACTCACACACACACACACATACATTCCCCCGCACCTGGCTGTGCACACTCACGCTGCACTGACACACACACTGACATCCCCCCACACCTGGCTGTGCACACTCACACTGCACTGACACACACACACACACACACCGACATTCCCCCGCACCTGGCTGTGCACACACACACTGCACTGACACACACGCACACTCCCCCACACCTGGCTGTGCACACTCACACCGAACCAGCCTGCTTTTCCCATCAGGCTCACACACAGAACCAGCACACACGCACACACCCCCTATGAACTCACAAACACACACTCACCCTGCATGCTTCCCTGGCAGTGGGGCTGAGCTGGGGCAAGAGTGATGGGCACAGCAAGGGCTCCTGTATCTCCATACTCAGACAGACCCTGGGGTCCCCCTCCCCCAGCTGTGCTGATGACCCTCAATCCCAACCCACAGCCCCCTGCTATCCCCACTCTGGGATCCTGTAAGATGAGCCTGTGCCTCCCCCATATCTCTGCTCGGCGGGGGAGGTGGCAGGAAGCTGGGGGGGTGGAGAGGGGGCTGTAGCTCCAGCCAAGACAAACAGACTGCCTGGGCTGCTCCTCTGTGGAAGCCTGAGGCCTGGGCCTGGCTGATTTCCAGGGGCACAGGGATGGGCCAGGCTACCTACCTGGGTCTCTGCCTCAGGTGGGCAGCTCAGGGCTGGGGTAGCAGGGGGCTGCGGGTCTGGATTGAGGGACACTGGCAGAGCTATGGGGGGAGCCCAGGGCTGCGATAGCCGGGGGCTGTGGGTCGGGATTGAGGGGCACTTGCCGAGCTGGGGGGGGGAGCCCAGGGCTGGGATAGCAGGGGGCTGAAGGTCAGGAGTGAGGGGCATTGGCAGAGCTGGGGGGGTGTTCCCCAGTTCCTCGTTCTGGCTCCCGCTGCTGAGCCATGGCTGGGACTCACTGGGTGGTCCCGGCACTTCCTTTCCCAGCCCCCCTTCAGCTCTGCCCCCTGCCCGACCTGGATCTCTGCTCCCCACCCCCACTGCTGGGACAGGCCTCAGGCTTCTGCAGAGGAACAGCCCAGGCAGTCTGTGGGTCCATGCAGTGGGGGAAGGGTATGGGGTGGGCTGCAGGCTGGCTTATTGCACCCAACGGCCAGGGGTCACGAGTGACTTGGGGGGAGCCAGGACACATGTTCAGAACGAGTCCTTGGGGGCCACATGGGTCCTCAGGCTTCTGCACGTGTGTGAGATCCCTGCATGGGCGCAGTCACGGCCCTGCTCCTCCTGACATGCCCACTCGCCCACACGGGCGTCCGCCCGGCCCCTCGTGCTCATGACATACCCGCCCGCTCATGACGGGCATCCACCCGGCCCCTCGTGCACATGACGTACCCGCCCCCCCCCCCCACCAGGCGTCCGCCCACCCCCTCGTGCTCACAACGCACCCGCCCGCACGGGCATCCGCTCGGCCCCTCGTGCTCATGACGTACCCGCCTCCCTGCCCTCACAGGCGTCCGCCCACCCCCTCGTGCTCACGACGCACCCACTCGCACGGGCATCCGCCCGGTCCCCCGTGCACATGATGCACCCACTCGCTCGGTTGTCCGCCTGGCCCCTCGTGCACATGACGCACCCGTCTCCCTGCCCTCACAGGCGTCTGCCCAGCCCCTCGTGCTCACGACACACCCGCTCGCACGGGCGTCTGCCCGGCCCCTTGTGCTCACGACACACCCGTCCGCATGGGCGTCCGCCTGGCCCCTTGTGCTGACGACGCACCCACCCACACGGGTGTCTGCCCGGCCCCTCCTGCACACGATGCACCCACCTGCACGGGCGTCAGGCCGGCCCCTTGTGCACACGACACACCCGCCTCCCCACCTGCATGGACATCCGCCCGGCCCCTCGTGGTCACGACGTGCCCACATGGGCGTCAACTTGGTCCCTTGTGTTCCGATGAGGCCATCTACCCGCACAAGTGTCTGCCTGGCCACCGGGCAAGCGTCTCCCCACCACGGTGAACAGGGACAAAACTCCTTTAAACCCCCCACTGGTGAAGGACACCCCATCCCCAAGAACGGAGCACCGGTATGGGTCACTCTCTGCAAGTGCTTGGGCGGGGACACTGGGGGCCTCTATGGGGGAAAGATTTGGGGTCATCACAGGGGAGATGACAAGGATTGGGGCAGTGGGCTGTGGGGAACTGGGGGGAGCATGGGGGGCTGGGCTGAGGGATTATAAGGAGCCATAGGAGGGGTATCAAGGAATGGGGGCCTGTACTGAAGGACGGCAGTGCTGTGGGGGTGGCCTTGCCATGGGGGGCCATGGTGTTGGAGGGTGGGGGGGCCCTGGGGGCAGGTATTGGGGCTGTGCTGGGTGAATGGTGGGGGTGGAGTGGGGGGTGTCGATGGTTGATGAGGGAGGCAGGGGACTGTAGGAGTGGATATCAGGGCTGTGCCAGACCAGTGGGGGGGGGCTGTAGTCTGGGGGAGGCCAGGAGGGGTCTTTGGGACAATGGGGGGCCATGCTACAGGGGGTGAGGGGAGCCAGGCCGTGGAGGGGTCCCTGTCCTAACCACACAGCCCCATCTGCTCTTCATTAGGCCCCACAGAGCTGGGATTCTTCTGGCTTCTCCTCCCGTCTGGCTCTAATTAACCCTTCTCAACACTCCCCCCCCTCTCCCCGGCACATTCCTGTCCATCTGGGGGGGGGAGGAACGCAGGGAACTGGGGGAAGGGGGGTGGGGGGACAGTATGTTGGGGTTCAACCTGCCTGCCCCCAAATACACCCCCATAAACATGCAGAGTCAGCCCTGCCCCCACCCACAACTCTGCCTCTGCCAGTGCCCCCTAGTCCTGACCCACAGCCCCCTGCTATCTCAGGCCTGGGTCTGTCCCACATGCAGGCTGTGTCAGGAGGGGGTATGTGTGGGGGCGCCATGTTGTCGGCACCTGAAGGCTGCAAACCCCCTTAGCTGACCATAGCTGGGGGATGCCGGCTTCTCCCAGCAGGGCCCAGGGTCTATGCAGCTCCCTGATCCAGCCAGCAGGGGGCAGGGCGAGCACACACTTACACTAACACTTGCACAGACACACAATGCACACACACACCGCCTAGCCTGCTCACTGTCGCATTTATAGAGTTTGCTCAGCCCTGATCCAGGAAAATCCATGGAGGGACCATCGGCGGGGGGGAGGGTGCGTGAGCACATGCACATCTCGGGGGTGAGGGTGTTCACCTTGGTGTGGGTGCGTGTCAGTGTGCATGTGTGCTTGCACCAGTGTGTGTGTGCATGTGTCTCGAGGGGGAATGCATGTATCTCTGTGTGTGGTCACACTGGTGTGTGTGCATGTTTGTATGTGCATGTCTGTCTGTGTGTGTGCGCGCTCGCACCAGCGTGTGCGCACATGTGTCTCCAGGGTGGGGTGCGCGTGTCTCTGGGTGGGTGAATGCATGTTGGTATATTGCACATGAGCGTGTCTCGGGGGGGGGGTTTGTCAGTGCGCGTTAATGTCTCTGGGTGTCCGTGTGTCTTGGCACGTGGGGGAGCTGGAGTTCAATTGGGCACAGACATTGGGAAACTCAATCAGTTGAAGGAGCCAAAATCTCCTTCCCTTCCCCCCTGCCCCCTTCCTCTCCTGGCCCCCCCCATGCCTCCTAGCACCCCTCCCACTCCACCCCCCCCCCAAGGTGCCTGGGGGCCGTTGTTTGCCAAGTGTTTGCGTCAGGCCAGAGTCTGTTTCCAGTTTGTGCTAACAGGCCGGGCGGCTCTGGGGCAGGGAGCCCAGGAAACCTTCCCCCATCCGGCTGAGGTGGGGGGCTCCCTGGGCCCCCGCAGTATTAACCCTTCACTGCATGGTGGGCTGGGGGTGAGGAAGCCCAGGCCTGGGATAGCAGAGGGCTGTGGGTCAGGACTGGCAGAGAGGGAGGGAGCAGCCCAGGACTGGGATAACAGGGCGTATTTCCCTGCGTAAGAAGCTGTAGAACATTTAATCCATAGCCAGACTCAGTTTAAAATATTTACTAATGGTTTGTACACATTGTATACAGAGAAATCACTTCCCTGCCTCTGAGATGCAGCCACCTCTGGGGTGGCGCATGGGGGCTGTTTACACAGGGATTCCTCACCTGGCACTGAGATGAAGCCACTGCTGGGGCTGAGCATGGAGTAGGGATCCCTCACCCCGCGCAGAGATGCAGCCACCTCTGGAGTGAGGTGCAGCAACTGGGTAACTGCTCATTGCAGGATCGTTTAGGGCAGGAAGTGAGCCTCTACCTCTTCTCACAGCCTCCTGGAGGTCTCCCATCCACAGACCTGCCCCCGCTTAGTGTAAGAGCTGAAGACAGCCCATCTTACAACGGGACAGGGGGATGGGATGTTCCTGGCTTTAGTGAAGGGTTAAGTGGGGGAGCCATGTCCCAGCCCACCCCAGTGGGACACAGACTCTGGGGGACCATCGCTCGCTTGGTGGGAAAGGCCCCAGGGGAGAGGGGAGTTGGTACAGGGAGCTTCCTGCCACCAGGAGCTTTAATTACAGAGGCAACAGCAGACACAAACATCCCTGCCTGCTCCCAGGGAGACCCATGAGTAGTGGCCTCCCCCCAACTCTAACCCACCAGCCCCCACTCCCCTCCCAGGGCTGGGAGCGTCCTGGATGGCCAGGGGGCTGAGTGTGGGGCTCGGTAGCTTATGACCCCCACAGATTTCTCACACAATGCCAATTCCAAGGTTTCCATCATGGAGTCAGGGGTTGACTCCCTCCCTCTCAGTAAAACTGTTTGGGAATAGAACCCAGGAGTCCTGACGCCCAGCCCCCCACCCCAGTAAAGCTGTCCAGCTGCAGGCAGTGCGGGCTCCACCCCTTTATTGTGAGAGCAACACACGTTAAGAATGGAACAGCATCTGGGGGCCCCCTGAACATCCACGCCCCCCAGAGGCCCCCCACATTATCTCCCCAAGACCTCCCACAACCCCCATTCTGAGCCCCCCATGACTCCCCCCTTCCCCTAGCTCCAGGCCCCCACTTCCCTCCCCTCTTGGCTCCGTGGCCCCTAGTTCCAGAGGTCTCTCAAGTCCTGCAGGCACTTCTCCATCCCTGTCAGTTTCTCAAAGCTTTTCTGGGGTGGGGGTAGCAGTGGGTCCCATCAGAGGTTCCCCACAATCAGAGCAGTGGGGGTGGCTCCTGTGTCCATTTAGCAGAAGTCCAAGGAGCAAGATAAGGAGGAACCCAGCCCTGGAGATGAGGGGGGGGGCCGTGTCCCAGGCAGGGTGCAGGGGATCCATGTCTCTGCCCTGGATCGTGGGGCCCAGTCCTAGTCCTAGTGCCAGCCCTGGGGTGAGGGTGATTCCAGCTCCGGGACAGCCACTGCGCAATTCCAGGGGACCAGCTGATGGAGGCAGGACAGTTGTGGGGGGACCATGCTCCAGCTGGGGAGTTGGGAAATAAATGAGGGTCCATGTTCCAGCCAGGGGGCAGGGTGGCTGCAGGGCCCTTGCTCCAGCCAGGGCGTCGGCCTCCATGTCCCAGCCAGGGGCTATGGGATGGCTCCAGGGTCTCAGCTGGGGAGGGGTGCAGGCCAGTCCTGGCATCCCAGCCAGGGGGTCTCATCTCCCAGCTGAGGTGTGTGGGGGGGCGCGTCCTGGTCCCTTTGTGTTCTGGGCCCCCACAATCTCAGACGCTGGTCCGGCAGGTGGTCAGGTGGGCCCCTGCAGGGGGGTGGGGGGGCCCCTTGCTCCCCGCACTGGTGACCCAGCGGTAGCACTGTGTGACGCTGCGGCTCTTGGCCCTGGCACCACAGCGGGTGCAGTACACGATGCCCAATGCCACCATGATCACCAGGAAGACGCAGAGGGGCACCAGCAGTGCCACCAGCAGCCACCGGTCATCCCGCTTCCTCCGTGCCCGCTCCCCACCTGGAGAGGTGCTGGGGTCCTCCGAAGGGGGCAGCGGAGCCCTGGCCCTGTCTGCTGAAGGGTCCCCTTCCCCCGCACTGTAGGGTGAGGCAGGAGCACCAGGGGACCTTGGAGATTTGGAGCTTGGGGGGCTGGTGCTGGGGGTTGGGGGGCCAATTGTGGGAGTGATAGCGGGGCTGGTGTGGGGAACTGGGGGGCCATTGGTGGGCTCTGGGGGGGCAGTGGATGTGGGAGGGATCAGGGTGGTGGTACTGGGGATTGGGGGGGCTGGTGGTGGGGTCCAGGGGACCAGTGGTTGTGGAAGGGATGGGGGGCTGGTGGTGGGGTCCAGGGGACCAGTGGTTGTGGAAGGGATTGGGGGGCTGGTGGTGGGGTCCAGGGGACCAGTGGTTGTGGAAGGGATTGGGGGGCTGGTGGTGGGGTCCAGGGGACCAGTGGTTGTGGAAGGGATTGGGGGGCTGGTGGTGGAGGGGCGAGGGGCTGAGTGGCCAGTGCTAGGGTGTGGGGCTGCAGGAGAGAGATCAGGGGGCGAAGCAGTGGGGTCGGGGAACTCCTGGATCAGGCTGAAAGGCTCGTCCGTCCCCAAAACCTGCAGCACCTCCGCCCCCCACTCCTGCTGGTTCCTGAAGTGTGGGTAGAAGGTCTGCTGCCTGGTGGCCAGCGCAGGGGGCTCTGCCAGGGGGGCACAGCTGATGCGGTCAGCCTCCAGCTCGTAGCCCTCGGTGCAGTAGCACTCAAAGCCGCCCACGTAGTTGACGCACATCTGCTGGCAGACGCCGGGGATCTGGCACTCGTCGTTGTCGACACAGTGCTGCGGCGCCTCCTCGGCCGGGCTGAAGCCCAGGTGGCACAGGCACAGGTAGGAGCCCTCGGTGTTCTCGCACTGGTGCTCGCACGGGGCGGTGTTGCATTCATCCAGGTCGGCGCAGCCCCCGGCCTCGTCGTCCTCGTAGCCCACCTGGCAGCGGCATTGGAAGCCGCCAGGGAAGTTGTCACACAGCTGCTCGCACGGGCCCGTGGCACACTCATCCGTGTCCTCGCACGTGTGCCCGTCACTGGCCAGCGTATAGCCCACGGGGCACAAGCACCGGTACCCTCCGTCCTCTCCTGGCACGCACTGAAACTGGCAGGGGTGGTTCTGGCAGCCATCGGCTGGGGCGCAGGAGCGCCCGTCAGGCAGTAAGGCGTGGCCGGCGTGGCACTCGCAAGAGTAGCTGGGACCCTCATCCACGCACAGCTGCTGGCAGCCCCCATTGTCACCCTCACACCAGTCCCCCAGCTCCTCCCCGCACAGGGGCTCCTCCTTGGACCAGCCCACGGAGCCGTCGTCCCGCTGCATGCACAGCACCGAGACAGGGGCTGCGCCACCACAGGCCACGGACGCCACTGTGCCGAAGGGGATGTGGCTCAGGGTGCTGCTGACTTGGCCGAAGGGTGTTGTGTAGCTCACGGGCCCCGTCTCCTCCGTGGCCAGTCCGTGGCACATGCCGGCAAAGCCGAAGCGGCACAAGAAGCCGTCCACGGGTAGGGTGCACGAACCCTCCAGCCACTGGAAATTCTCCTGCGTGGCCAGGCCATAGCTCAGCACCACGCAGCGCGAGGCCGAGCAAGCGGTGCCCCCGGCCGGCTCGGCCTGCGCCCAGTTGGTGTAGAGCGTGTCTTGGTCGCCGGTGGTCCAGGTGAAACCACGCAGTGGGCGCTGGGGGAAGCACTGGCGTGGCTGGCGCTGCAGCCCGATCCAGAAGAGCCGCCGCTGCCCTGTACCCGGGCCCGTGGCCTGCAGCAGCTCCGCCACCTGGGCGGCCTCCTCATGGCGCTTGAGCGTGGCCAGGTTCCCGCCACGCTCTCGGCAGCTCCGCCAGGACTCCAGGAAGCTGCGGCGTTGGAAGAAGACAACGTAGCAGCCCTCAGGACCACAGGCAGCCTCGGGCCCCGGCCAGGCAGCCTCAGGCCCTGGCCAGGCGCCCCGCGCCGGCCCCACCAGCCCAGTGAGGAGCAGCCAGAGACGCAGCATCGTCCTGGCGCCCACGGCTGCCTGCTCGGCTCTGCGCCTCCGCATGGAGCCCCTGCCCTTCTCTTCCCCTCGGCGGGGAGGGGCAGGATGGGACAGTGCCCGCCCCTGCCCTTGTAAGGCAGAGAATTGGTCCCAGGCCCAGGGAGAGGGGGAGACAAGCTGGGAGGGGCAGCTGTGGGGATCGTGGATGGCCTGACCCAGAGGATGGAGGCAGGGTATGTGTGTGTGAGACCTTCCCTTGTGTGCAGCTGGATGAGAAATGCAGATCCCACTCCTCTCCGAGAAATGGGATAGATCCCCGGAGTCCTGGCTCCCAGCCCCCCTGCTCTAACCACTAGACATACCACTCCTCTCCTAGGGCTGGGGCTAGAACCCAGGAGCCCAGACTCCCCGCCACAGTGAATCTGCAGAGAATGGGTGTGTACAGTGACCATATGCTGTGGCTCACACTGACACACACATACAAAGACATGTGCATATGCACACAACACTCACACACACTCTGCATACACTGCTACATCCCCCCGCCTGCCCCAGTCCCAGACCTAGTTCAGCCCTTTGTTCCAGAAACCTGGAGGCTGGAACACTGGGCTGGAATTTGGCTCCTCACTCCCCCCGCCCCCATGCCCGGCTGGGAGCAGGGAGAGGCTCAGCGTGAGTTTCCTCCCCGCCATCCTCTCCAGGCCCTCATGCTGCTCAGGGCGATTCCCACGGGGAGCTGAGACCCTCAACAGGGAGCTGGTCCCAGATTGGGGGAAGTCAGTGTGCACGTGGGTGTGCATGCAGAGGAGAGTGAGTGCATACAAAGGTGCGCATTGCATGGGCGAGAGCGGGAGCGTGGGGGGTGGGGACATAGAGGGATCAGAATTGTTCCTAGCCCTCACTTTCCCACACGTGTGAGTACCCCCTTGTGCAGCTTAGTTTGACATGCATGCACATGTGCACACCCATGTGCACTCTTGTGTGTGCATGCTGTGCACACACACACACACAAAAGCTCTCCTGTGCAAGCTCAGTTTCTTGTACCTTCTCACTTTCCCATGAAAGCATACCCCTGTGTGTACACACATTCCTGGGCATGCACACCCATCTGTACACATACCCTCCCATGCATGCATTTTCCTGTGCATGTGCATACATACCCTCCTGTTCATGCACGTGTTCCTTACTTCGTCATACACACACTGGTGTGACCATTGTCCCATTGCACACCTGCACATATGCATGCATCCTCCCATGCCACCACACACCCATGCTACCACATTGTGTTCGCTGCTCCCACTCACAAATGTGTGTGCCATGCATGTGGCATGCACACCTGAGCATTTGCACATGTGCACTCACTTGTGAGCATACCCCTGGGCATTTGCACACGTGCTTTTCCACACACTCCTACCTGCTCACCCTGTCTGCTAAGCCAACTGGCAGTCCCTGGGGGCTCCATTCCTGGGGAGGCCGAGGCCAGCAGCACAGGTTCGCGAGGCTCTGGAACTTCCCCCAAGGCCAGGCGAGGGGAGACAGGGAAAGGTCGGAGCTCTGCAATCCAGGAATCCGGGGCTGCAGCCCCGACTAGGGGCAGGGATCGCAGCTGTCTCTGCTGTGAACCAGGTGTGCGTGTGCCTCTGTGTGTCAGGGGGTCGTGGTGTGCATCTCTGCACGGGGGGCTGTGTGTGTTTGGCGGGCTTTGTGGCGGGTGTGTGTGGTGCATCTCCGGGGGGTTGTGTGTTTCGGTGTGTGTGGTGTGAGCCGAGCAGGGGAGGGTACAGTGGGCCCAGCCGCGGGGGCTGCAGGTCGGATGGAGCCGCAGCGCGGAAATGCATGGAATTCCTTGTGTGTGGGAACCAGGAGGGGGGGCGGGCGTGGGACGTAGGGCCTTTCTCCGCTAGGGGGCGCCAGCTCTGCTCCCCTCCAGCCCCAGCTGCGGGGAATGGCTGGCTCAGGGAGGTGGGGGGTGGGACACAGCCCCTCCCCCGCCCCGGCACACCGGCTCCGATCCAGCGCCCGTTCAGGGCCCGCCGAGAGGTGAGTTTTCTGGGTCTCAGCCGCCCTGGTCCCTGTTGGGGCAGAAGCCCCCGCCCCATAGGTAATAACCACACCCCGTGCTAGTGGCCCCACGAGGGGGGAGGCATCCCAGGCAGACGCTAAGGGAGCTCTCCCGCCCCCTTTCCTCTCGTTTTAATCAACCCCCTCCCCCCCCCGGTTTCTGCTTGGTTGTTTTAAGAGACTCCAGAAACACTGGCCTGTGGCTGATGGAGTTGGGCCCCGCTGGATCCGCTTGGGGCTGGGGGAGACACTGACCCCTAGACCCCACCAGGTATTCACCCCCCACCCCTTCAGCCTGGTATGCCGCCCGGCCCCAATCCCTGTGGGACGGGAGGGATGGGGGCCAGCCCCTCCCCCATTTTCATCCCCTCTCTGGACTCTCTGAGGCCGGGGGGAGGCTCTATACTGGCGGGGGGGGGGTGTGGCTGATTCTGCCCTGGGTCCTGGTTCCAGGCTCGGGGGTGGGCGGGGACAGGGGCTCCCCAGTTAAGGGGCCTCTGTGCTGGGACAGAGATGTGGGTTGAGCACCACCTGGTGGCAATGTTAAGAACTGAGAGCCAGGGCTCCTGACTTCTGTCCCCAACTCTGAGAGGGGAGTGGTGTCTAACGGTCAGAGCATAGGGGATGCTGGCAGCCTCTGCACTCAAGTGACACCAGATTTACCACAGGGCAGACAGGGAAATGTACGTGTGAATCACTCCGACATAGTTAGTCTTGAAGGCCTGTGCTGCCCCCTGGCAGCCTGGGGCTGACACTGCCCAAGCCCTATGGTCTGTAAGAGCAGCAGGATTCCTATTTAGCAACAAGGATTATTCTTGGCATTTGTCGTCCCCCTGGCCTTGCCACCCCAGGACCTCACAGCCCCTGATAGATCCCAGCGACCTGAGCCACAGCGCCGGGACAGGAAATGCTCAGATTGACCCTTCAGACAAAGGGCCACACTGGGGGCTAGGTGAGCATCCCCCACTTCCCTCCCATAGCTGGGGATAGACCCCAGGAGTCCAGCTCCCCTGCTCTAACCACCAGACCCCACTTCCCCCCCAGAGCTCGATCAGGATAGACCCCAGGAGTCTATTTACACACATGTCGTTCCCATCTTCATCACAGGGGGCCTGTGTGTAGCGCAGGGCAGGAGGGAGCTGAGGGGGATAGGCCTGGGCACCTCCTACATAAATCGAGGCCCCCTCCACCAGTCGCTGTCACCCCAGCCGCAAGCAGGCATCTGTTGCCATGGCAACCCAATGGCAGTAATCAGAAAAACAGCCCCCCCCCCACACACACTTAAAAAGGTTCCCTTGGCCAGGAAACAATCATGGGGGGGGGCTCAGAGTTCCAGACCTGGACATGCCCTCGTGCCCCATGGCTGGCAGCCCTAGGTACTCTGTGTCATCACAGCAGCCCCCCGCCCAGAGCATCTCCCGTTATGTGTATGGAGGGAGCAGGGGAGCCACCCCGAGGCCTGACTCCTGCCCCTAGGGATGGGGGCAGATCCCCCAGGGAGGCCAGATTCAGCACTCACAGTTACATGGCTGCTTGGTCCCACTAGGAGCTGGGCTGGGACCCTCCCCCGCAGTCAATCCACTCATGGGACACAGAACAGGGACCAGCGCCCCATAGAGAGGAAAGGCCCCATATCTGAGCCAGCCTGTGGTTGAACCAGAGCTGGGACATACACTTCTTCTCACCCCTCCCTCCCCAGCAGAGACAGGAGACAGAGACACTAAGAAGCAAAAACAATTTAAAAATCAGGGTAAAAAAACCCATTTACAGGTTTGTGTGTGCGCGCGGGGGTGATTTCCCTCCGCCACGTTTAATACAGAGAATGCGTCGCATGGGAATCCTGCCCCAGGCCCAGCAAACACTCCATGTCTGCACCCCAGCATTGCAATGTGGAGACGGGGAGGCATGGAAAGAAGTGCCCCCCACCCCCTGAAGCTGTCTACACTCCCCACCCCAATTCAGTTTGTTGTGTCATTGATGCTGGGGGGTGTCATTGATCCCTTTATTCCTCCCCTCAAATTTCCCCCCCAACACTCCCTTATTTGCTTCCCAAGGGCCAATCCCACAGGGATGGGGGGGGCAGCTAGCCCCTCCCCCTGGTCCCTACAGCACATCCCCCAGGGTGTTAGCCAGGCTGCGGAGTGGGGGACTACCTGGCCTCACTGATCCCTCCCCAGCAGGGGCATCTCCCTGAGATCCAGCCCGAGACAGCCTTGTGTGAACCCTACTCTCTCCTGCCTCTAGCAGGCTGCTCCAGGGGAGGGAAGACATCACTGGCGTGGCCAGGGCAGAGCCCAGGAATTGGGACGGAGAGTGCCCTGGGCCTATGAGAGAGGCACACCCTCCCTTTCCCCACCCCACCCAGACCCAATCCCCTGGTACCATAATTATTCCCCCCTCCCCACCTCAGAAGAAAAGTTCCCAAAAGAAGCCCTGTGATTGGTTGGCCTGTTAGAAAGGCAGAATCAAGGCGATATTGACAGGGAGGAAAGGGTTAATGAAGAGATGGGGCGGCTGAACTAGTGGGGGGGGAGACGGGGGCGTCCCTATCGCACAGTGACCCCCAGCTTCTCCAGGATGCGGGTCCCCTTTTCCAGGTACTCGGCTCGCTGCAGCCAGAAGGTATCCTTGTCCTTCATGATGTCGGCCAACACAGCGCCCCCCAGGAACACCATGTGCTTCCGCCGCGGTGGGTCCTCGATCCGTATTTTGAATTTCTGCAGGGGAAGAGAAGACCATTTATTAAAAACGGGATCCCCAGAATTCAAACCCAGAGCCAGGAGAAGAGGCTCCGCCCCCTTGGCTATGGGAGGAGCCCGACTGGTCTCAGGCACAGGGTCAGTGGGATCAGGATTTCACCCCTGGATTTTCAGGCCAGAAGAGCTGTTCTGAACCCCTGCATCACCCCTGGGCAAATCCCCCTCACAGGGCAGGGGCCTCCTTGGCCCCCCATGCAGGTCAGTTGCAATGGATTGTGGGTGGCATTGGGGAGCTGAGCTGGCCTATCCCACGCAGGG